GAATGTGAAAAAAAATTCAAATCATCATCTCCAACCCAAAGCAGAAACATAGATTTCATACCTTTATATATGACCTATGCAGAAAAAAAATCAATCTTAATGTTACTTCTTCCTTAGCAATAATTTGTTTATAAAATAATAAACTATATCATTATGTAAATCTGACAAATTAACTGGAAGTTTTGAGCAATGAATTCTAGCTAAATGTTTTACTATCCATATATGAGTTTTCCCTAATCCTTGAATTTAGTAATTAATTTCACAAACAAAATGTAGTTCATATATTGCTGCCCGATTAGAAAGTTCAAGCATGGCATTCTACACTTAATGAGAGTATATAACGACTACTGAAAGACATGTTCTTGAATTATGGTTCATGTTCTCAAAACTGATTTGCACATAAAAAGAAATAAGATTTGGAAGTTGTTGGTCTTTAGATTCAGAGTGGACATTTCTTTAACTGTTCCCTAAAGGCAATTTTTATTCACTAAAAAATATATATAGCATATTACTCTTCATATACAATAGTACTCAAAATTATCTGGAGGTTAACAGACTTTATTTATTAATGTGCCGGGTTCTTTCAATTATGAATCTTTCTTAGAATATGGACTTTCATAGAAGGCATTTCTGCAGTATTCAAATTCTGAACAGGTGACAAAGAACTTACAAAAAAGAACTTACAAAAGAGTAATTTGTGCTTTGAATGAGTAAATAACTTGGGCTTTGAATCTTTCTCGCAGCACACAGCATCTTCTGAAACTAGATTCCAAAATTCCTCCAGACAAAGTAAATACTATATGTCTTGAATACAATCATCAGTCGCTTTGTCAATATTCTTCTGAACATTTGTGACATTTTTTTAATGAATTCTACACTATCATTTAAAACACTTTTAATTCTTTTATATACATCTCAGTTGATTTGACCAGGTATTGTTGTGAGTGAAAATTAGGTGTTAAAAATACTATCTGACAATGTGAACATGATGATGGCTATGGAGACAAACTTTTGAAGTTTTAAGGAGTTTGCATAAAATCTCTACTAGCAATGTTGATATAGACCTGGGGAGTTGTCCGAAAAAAAGTTTCTTTTTGCAAGAAATCAGAAACAGAATTTCATATCAATTCCTAGGAAGGTTCTAACATCTATCAATCCAAATACCATTGTTTACTGWCATTCCCTAGAAGAGATCAGAACTGAAGCCATTTCTAAACATTCAAACCCGGCAGACCTGATTGTAATCATGTATCTCCCAATACAACATTGCATTTCTGCTGCACACATTCTTTCTGAATTATAATTCACTGGCTTCTACATGGTTCTGATATCTTGTTCTAGGTTTAGCAGCTCAACATCAAACTGGCTCTCTTGCCTTTCAATTCTCTGGCATTAACCAGAGCTAATTCTTCAAAGTCCAACTTCTAGCAGAAGAAAGATAAGCTAYGTCTTCTCAGTGTTCTGGAATGCCTTTGAGGAAGCCCTCACGAAGGTAAGGAAGGTGTTGCCCTCTGAGATATTTTTCTGAAACCCGTAAGTCAAGTCCACAGCTTCTCTTCCCTTTACATACAAATTTAATGTTAGAAGAAAAAAAAGAAGATGAAATTTGCAACATCAGATTTGCCATAATAAACATCTGGTATCACCACCTCATCTGTCACTCTTCTCAGTCACTTTCAGATAGGAACTTACACAGAGCAGGTGTTTTTCTTAGATCTCTCTGGAAGCGCATGCTTAAATTCTGTAGTTAATATTGTGATAGACACATACAGAATTTTGTCTCATTGAAACATTTCAAACATTAAATTGTGGGGCAAAAATAGTGGGGATAGGTAGAGATCAATTCATTTCCTTTCACACAAAGAACAGTATGAAACAAAACTGTTAGGGTGCAGATTCAAAATGAATAAAAGATTTTACTTCTTCATGTTGTTAAGCTATGGAATTACTTGCCCCAGGATGCTGTAAAAAATTGGACTGAAAAGATTTAAAAAGGATAAGTTCAATACATGAGAATTACTGAATATATGGATAAACCTTGAGCTAAGAAAGAGTACTTCCACAAATCCTGGAGTCACATTTTTCACACTTGGGGTAAATCATAGGAGTCAATAAACCCTGACTGCAAGGGCTGAACCTCACACATGGAAAATCTTCCTGCTGATCATAGCATTTCCCCTGCTAGAGAAGTGTGGACACTTCTGGAAGCAGTATTTTCTATTAAATGGGACTCATGATCTAGTATGGCTACTGTTTGAACATCTCTCAGCCACACAGTTCCTTGTAGGACCCTGCACTTCCTCCCTTTCCATCTCTCTGGCAATAACCTCTGTTCCTTTTCATGTCATCTCATACCTCTGGAAGAGGGTAGAATGTCACAGTTCTAAGTGAAACCATGAAATACCATGACATTTCTTCAACAAACAATGTAAATTTCCCTTTCTATTTCTAGCAGTCCTCTGTAATGGAGAAAAGCTGGGAGGGAGATAGATGCCAAAAACAATGGACCTTGGGTCAAGGTTGACACTGGTTAAAACTAGAAGTATGAGAATCTTCATTAATGTGAAAAGTAAGGAAAGTCCATTGACTAACTGGAAGAGGCTTAGGTTGACAAGGTGTTACATTCTGCTGTCAGACACTGTTTGAGAAGTTTTTTTTTTTTTTCAAAATGGCAATGCAATGGCTGGAATTATTTGTTTGTCTGCAAATACTTGATTTTCCTTGAGTATAATAGCTGTATCTGCCCTAGCTATCACAGAATTAATGTTTATTTTTTTCCTTTATATGACTGTGAAGTCTCTTTTCTATTGTGAATTATTTCATTCTCAATTATTTGGAAATGGAGGAAGAGAAGTTTACACCTGAAATATTTAGAACATCATTGTACTCTTTAAATTCATGATGCATGTTTTTGATAAAAATAAAAAGAAACATATAGATAATTAAACTAATGGTTTACAACGGGATCACCTATTCAAGTTGTGTAGCTAGTAAAATCAGGGTCATGACTACTGTGATCTTACTGTGTAATTCTACTTAAAGTATCATTAGAGTATTATATTATGAAGTCTTCTTTACCTTGCTGCTAAAGCTAGCAGCAATTTGTCATTTTCAGCTTCTATTTGTTGTATTTATTTTACTGAAACAAAGCCCACCTTAAAATGTCATGAGATGATCATATTTTTTTTCTGTTGAAGTTTTGTGAATAATTCATTCCACAGTCAAGACTTTGTGTACCTGGTTTCAGCCTGGGAGGATTTTTTATCAGATGTATAAGCTCTGGAAAATAAAAGATTTTAGTGGAAATGCTATCTTTAAATTAATTATAGAAGTGCTAGCAGGCACCATTATACTATAATAGTTTATGAAAATTCCCAGATAGCAGTAGATTACCTCAATTGTAATATGATTTTTTTATGTTATGCTCTACAAATACTCATAATTTTTAATGGTTTCAATGTGACTTACATAAGAATCAGCATGGAAGATACTAGAAAGCAACTTGGGAGAAAGCGTCAGCAGTCACCACAGACTAATTTGGCTTCAGTGCTACTTTTTGAATCCTGCTGCATTTAGTCTTTTTATTTTTCTTTTCCTCCCCACTGACCAACATGCCAGTAAACAGTTCTAGATTTCTAAAATCCATTTAGTCATAAAGATAATTTCAGCAATGCAGTTGATTACTACTGAGTGATGATTATTTTTTTCCCCAAATAACTTGTATTTTACAATGTAGATATTTCAACCTTGTGCTCAAAGCATATTCACTCAGATTAGGTTGCCCAAGACCCTGACTAGGCAAGTCCCAAGTATCTCCAACGATGGTGTTTCTGCCACCTCTCTCTACAACCTGTGCCAGAATCTGACCACCTTCTTGTTGAAAAAAAAAGCTTTTCCTGGTTGCAATTTCCCTTTCCAAATTCAGAATTTCCCTTGTTGCAAGTTATGACCATTGCCTCTTGTCCAATAAGTGTGCAAACTTGGGAAGAATCTAGCTCCATCTTCCCTGTGTGCTCCCATGAAGTAGCTGTTGACAGCAATCATTTCCCTCAGCCTTCTCTCTCTGAGGCTGAACAAAGTTTCAGCATCTCCTCATATGCCACATCTGCCAGCTCCCAGACCAACTGTATGTCAATTCTTTTCTTGCACTGAAGAGCTGAAAACTGGCCATAGCACAGATGTTGTCTCACATGTACCAAAGAGAAAGGAAGGATCCCTTCCCTTGACCTTGGCTGCACTCTTGCTAATAGAGCCCATTTGGCCTTCTTTGCTGCAAGGGCACACAGTTGACTTGCATTTAACCTCTCCACCAGGACCTTCATGTCCTTTTCCACTAAGCTACTTTCCAGTTGGTCATCTCCAGCTTGTACTGCTCTCTGAGGTTATTTCATACTGAATGCAGGAGTCTGTATTTGCTTTTGCTGAACTTTACAAGTTTCTTGTTAGCCCATTTCTCCAGTCTATTGTGATCTGTCGAAACAGCAGCCCTGACCTCCAGCCTATCAACTACTCTGCTCAGCTGGATATAGCCCACATACTTGTTAATCAGTATTGCTCCAGTTACAATCCCAAGACCAATCCTAGTTGACCATCAGTTGGATTTTGTATCACTGATCAAAACTCTTCAAATCCAGTGGTTCAGCCAATCCACCTTACTGTCCACTTACTTTGTCCAGGCTATATCTCATCAGTTTTTCTATAGGGATATTTTGGAAGAAAAGCTTTGCTAAAGTCCTTTCATCCACAAATGGATGAAACTGATGACTCTTCACAGAAGTTAGTCATCTGATGCAGTCATCTCATCGCTTTCCAATGACCTTCTCAGCATCCTTGATTACAACAGATTTCTTCACCTAACAGAGATGAGGTTCATCTCACTTGAGTTTAGATAACTCAGTTTAGACGTTTACTTTAGGAACAGATGAATGATAGATTAGAAGTGCCTGTTTTTCTCCGCTGTCTGCAAAATTAATTCCCAGAAGGACATCTACAAGTGGACAGATTCTTCCCCATGTACATATCTAATGTGTAGTGTTTTTATTGTGTATTATCATTTTATAGTGTATTATTTCAGTTTGTAAGTAATTGTGACTTATTCTACACTCTAGAACTGTTTCAGCAAATATCTTATATGTACTTGCATTGAGTTCATGGTTATCCTTCTTAGGAAAGTATCTTCTCCTCTAGTGGTACTGCAGCTGACTAATGCAAAAAAAAAAAAAAGGACCTGTTTAGACTTCTAGAACGATTAGCTACTCAATATAAATTTTGGACCCAATGAAAGCCAGTGGAAAAAGTCTACCTACTCACTCACTATCCTTGAGGTGTATTAAAATGAAGAAATACAGTGAGAGAGAGAGAGAAAAGCTTCTACAGCTGCTTTTTCCCCAAAATAAACCCTTTGCATTCCTTGACAAATTTCAAACATTAATAGTCAAAATTTGTGGTTTATAGGTTGCAGTTGTAGATTGTAGCACCATAAATTTAAGGACAGTGTCTCACAGACATTTTCAGAAAACAAAAAGTATTTTAAAATTTGAATATTCACAATAAATATTACCCATCTTTCTCTAATCTTCTGTATCTCTGCTACTTTTAATTTTAATAGATCAATAAAAATTTATTTGCATAACTTTCTTGTTTCATTAGTCCTAGCGAAAAAAAAAGAGAGATAACTTGACTATTTGCAAAAAGCATCAGCAATTGTATTACATCTCAGTGTAATGTTCATCATCCTACAGTTCACAAAAATAGCCCTTTGAAATTCACTTTTTTTTTCTTTTTCCTTTCAATGCATTAGAGTACAAAAATGGTTTAAAGCATCATGCCATTATTTTAGAGCTAAATAGTTAAATGTTTTATACAGGAACATCAAACCATATATGCTTCAAACACCCAACATTTTTTTAATGGCTTTCAGATAAAACAATTTATTTATGCAATTAACAACAACATGCAATTTCTAATAATTAGCCGATAATAGTTATCCACAAAGTACTTTATAGAATTGCCTTCTGAACTGCATTCATTCTGTAGGGAACCACTGAAAATTAGACTATAAAATTACCAGAAAATGTACTGCATTAACAAGAATTTTCTGTATTTTGTTTTCCCTACAGATTTATGGGCTTGAATATTTGTAAACATGTGGTTTCAGGGAGAGACATCAGGTCCTATCACCTTACATTTATACAAAGAAATAAATACAAGAGCAGTCCTTTCTGGAAGATATTTATACTCTTATTTTTCTGCAAAAATATGTGATATCTCCATGTTGCTATTTTGAAAATTGGACATTTCTGAAAAATAACCATTTATTTGATGAGTTTGATTTCAAACGATAATAAGTTTGGAGTGTTCTTAATGGCCTTATGCTTTCTGAGCGTTTTGATTTTGCATTTTTGAGCTTTTTCTGACAAACACAAAGGCTAGATATTATGAGAAACTTGCATATTATTTGAGACTGAAAGATTTAGAGCTGAAGCACCCTGATAATTTATAATAAAGCTAAGAAAGCTGGAGTCCCTGTTTAGGTGGGACATCAGGGTGCTCTGCAATAAGGAAGATTTATACTACTCCATTTAAAACAACAGTCAAAGGTTCACAGGCACACAAACCTAGAACAGTCTCTGACATTAGTAAATTGGTATCACTAAAACACAGAAATATTTTGAAATTTACATTTAAATATTTATCTATATTCAGATAATCAGATTTATCTCTCAGATATCTACATTTCTGATATATCTAGATTTCTGTAAGTATCTTCTAAGCAAAGCTCTGAGGTTCGTCTGTTGTACAACTGAATTCACTGTAGACCAACCATGACTTAGAGAACAAGTGAAAATAATCATTCTATCAACGTATTTTCTCAGTGTTAAAGGATATGTTAATCCAATAACATTGCAGACTTTGAAGGACATTATTTATTTATTTCTGTTACCACAAAAGAAAATATTCTTTTAGTGGTAGTACTATCGTATGTCTGCCAACTCAGAAACTTGGCTAAACACCATCCAGACATAGAAAGGAGGGACCATTTAAAGCCCAAAAAAAGCAGCCTAAGAATTTAAAACTGAAAGTTAAATTTTCCTTTGAAGATGACATGGTATAGTAATGAACTGGGATGGCTATTAGGAGGAAGACCTGAGCTGGTTCCAATTAACTCAACCCTTCTCTGCCATAGAAGATGT